CAGCAGAAAGCTGGATGCTCACCAGAATGCATTCAGCACTAGGAAAAGCCCCCCCGAAAGTTTCTTCATTTTACAAATAGCTAAATATTCTGCATTCTGAGTATCCTCATGACCAGGCTTCTCTCTATACAATTTCCCTTCTACAGCAGGTCAGATTATATAATTTGTTTTAACGTATACTTATCGATTTGCATTTTATTTTGTAAACTGTTAACATTAAAAATATTTGCTCATATTATGTAACAGGATATTACTTTTAAATTGTTGAAAAAAATTCCTACCTTCAGTTCAAAATTTCCTTTCTAGAATTACCATCTTTCATGTATACTGAATAACAGGTGATTTTATCTGTACTTTTTACTTCAAAGGTTGTCATGCTTGCAACATGTAGCTTCAACTAAAAAAAAAAGGCAAAAATATAACCGTAAAAATAATTAGGAAAAAACCCAAAAATAAACTAGTGATTTATTAAACTGCAGCTTGCTTGAACTCCCACACTTTTTTAATGCCAAAAAACAAATATCTGGTTCAGCGTACAGACCAACCAAGTGCAAATGACTCAGATGGCTGGGTAAGATATACAGAACTATTTTGAATAAAATTTCAAAAATAGGTATGTCTCACATATGCAAGGTTCAGGAGAGATACAAATCCTTTAAGAAAGGGAATGTGCCTACTCGTACACGCATTTTGTATGAATGGAGTGAATTTTTAAAGACTGGTGTGTCTTCTTACTACAATAAAGATGATCAATGAGAAGCAAGTCTCTTCCTCTCCAACATTTCACACAAATACTGGAAAATATGCAGAAAAGAACACTAAGAACTACTTCAAACATAAAACTCAAGTGCAGTTCATTTTTATCGCTCTGTAGAGATTTCTTCTCTGTTGTAGAGGCAAGGCTAAACTTCCCATTGTACTTGTTTTAAAGAAAAAGCTAGCAGTAAATAGAAAAATTAGTTACAGTTATGTAAGATAAAAGCTGTTTCCACAATGGTCACGTTCCTGTTGATCTGCATGTTTCAGCTATATAGGTAACTTTTTGTATTTTTGGACAATACATGACATTTTACTTCAGCTGAACAAAAATCTCTCTTCTTTTTCTCAGTGACAAGAGAGTTACTGGCACAAGCAGTCACATAATAGCATCACCTCACTTGGTTAAAGAAACAAGACTTATATATGGAACTACCATCCAGGCATTAATATCATCGAGTTAAAGTAACAATACAGAAAACTGTTTATATTAGAAAATAAGAAAATTCAACAGAGACGCAACTGTGATTGCCTAGCATAATTTCAATTAATTCTACACCTTTACGTACTAATGGCCTGACACTTCATGACAGAAGTAATATGCATTTAAAAAAAATCATAATACTATCAAATAATGCCAATTCCATGCTAAATAGTAAAGTTTTCCTCACCTCTTTTTCACCAAACTTAGATGAAACATTGAAGAGAAACTGATTTTCTCCCCATTTTGTCGATCTATGCAATCTAAAATCTACTGCCTTTTGCAGCTTTTCTATTTTTTTTCTGCTGCTGAGCCATAATTACAATTGGATATCAGCTCAAATTAATGGGTCCCTTTACAAGTGGGTCAAAACCCACCAGAAATGCTTTTGAACTGCAACCTTCTCTACTAATTCACACAAATGGTCTCATTGCTTTTGCAGGATTTGTGATGAAATTATATGCCTGAATTACAAGGGCAAGCTAATGCCCTTTGGCTTTGTACCACATCTTTCACAGGCTCTTGTAAGTACTTTTCAGTTACCCACAATGCTCAAAATATCAGCATAAAGTTTCCAGCAGAGGTTTAAAAACTCAATGTTCTGATTTCCCCCACCCCTGAATTTAACTTGCAGTCTCTCATCTGAGACAATATAGCTTCTCTATTAATCTTGAAGCTGTGTAAACTTTTTGGTTCTACCAGCTAACACTGATATCCCAAAGCAAGGTATTCTAAACTGTCAGGAAGAAAATATTTAAACATTTAAAATATTAGCTAGATATACATGATTAGCAAGCACAATCCAGATGGCTTTAGAATGACATGCATTGTATTGTTACACTATTCAATTACGTTTTTGCACACCTTTGCAAATACCCAAGTGTGACATTTATCTATACAAACAGTCTTAAGTTCAATTTCAAATTGCGTTTCTGCTGGTGGTGATGAGGGCAGTGATGAGAACACATCCCTGTACGCTGAAACTGCTTCACATCCATGTTCAGCATATGGATCTGTCCATTAAATGAAGTTTTCAACTCATTTCATTTTGAAGAAACAAAGGCAGAGGGGTAAAAACCAAAAACCAAATGCCACAGTCTGTAAGGGAACCCATTTTATTGTTTGTGATACAATTGACTTGAAAGACAGTTCATATTTCCTTTCTCTGAACAAAGTTTTGGCATGAGGCCCCAGAATATTCAGGCCTAAGTGATGTGAAGTTCCCTGCTAATTGTTATAATTAAAACTGACATGAAGCACAGAATTTACTGTGTGATACAACATGAAGACTAGTATAAGAATACTAATCTTCAATAAATCACTAAACTGATTTTACAGAAAACAAATACTCAATAAAGCATTTTATACTAAGCTATTTTTAATATTATGAAATGGAGACAAGGAAAAGTAACACAATATATTAATAGAAGAGATGTTAACGGATCTCAGTCAGACAAATTACACCAGCACTTCAGTGTATTCTAAAATCTACTATTATTTTCAGTGTCTGAATTCAGTTTTGTGCTGTGAATTTAATAACACAAAAGGTGACATTTCCTCCCTCCTCTGCACTTTTCTTGGCAAACAGTATACATACATAATCTATGCATACTAGGTTCTGTTACACACAGACTAACGTTTTAGGAATAATAGCTACCTAAAGCCTGACTGAGGTATATTAAATATTGAGCTGTGTCAGTCATTGTAGACCATGAGCCACGCAACTATCACAACAGCAACTCCAAACACTGGCAGCATAATGAGGTTCTTGTATTTTTGCCATGATGATTGTTCAACTTCTACTTCATCCTTTCTTCTCTTATTCTTTCTTCGCCCTTTTAATCTGTTTTCAAAAGCTTCCAGTTCAGCCTAGACAAAGAAAACCAGAAGTAGTTGACATTTGTGTCAGAATTAAAAACAAGGAAATGTGCATGTTTTAAGTAACATTCCCAAAAAAACATTTTACAAAAATAACTGGTAGCCAATGAGCTGGTAGCACCATATCCCATAGTAACAAAGCACTTTGCTTCCAAGTATTAAGCTATTGCTTAGTTTCCTATAAAAAACATCGCCAAAAATGCAACCAACTGAAATTTTGTACTAGATTTTTAACTCAGGCTGAATATGTTAAGTCAAAATGAGATTATTTCCATTAAATATGTTAAAAATGTATATTTTTTCCTAATTGAGAAAAGCACTCGTAAGTATTTAGGCTATTACAATAATGTATATATGTGCATCAGCTGAAATCTTCAAAGACCTCCCCCCTGCAACAAGGATGCACTCTCTGTTAAAAATAAATGAATAAGAATATAAATAAATAAAAATCTATAATCTTCCCCCCAATTCTTTATATTTTGCATGCTCAGCTGAATTTTGGGTTAATAATCTTAGAGATGCACAAAAAGATTCAATCTGTTAAATGTTACAACTTTCCATTTAGTCACTCATATGTGACTGTAGCAGGTACATAGCATCGTTCAAAAGAAAGTACGTGCCCTTAGGCCCAAAAATGAAGCAAAGCAACTGGAAAAATAAGAATGCCAAGCTTCCACCCAGAACAGCAGTATCAGGGTGATGCTTGGAACAAACAGTAGGATTCTCTGATCCCTGTTCCTCATTCCGCTCCAGATCCTTTTAAAAGGGTATCAAGAGAATACAGGCAAAACTCATTTTAGGGTATAAAGCTGAAATAAAACTGGAATTAGGCAGCCCGGAACAAAGAGTGTAGGAGTGGGATGAAACTCCCAGAAGCAGCCATCTAATTGCTAGGAAAATCAGAAAAGCTGCTCTGAAGGAGAGCTGAGACAGACTAAAAACAGAAAAGGTGCAAGGATTATCTGGACTTTTGGGCAGAGTTATCTGCTACTCGAGAAAGCACGGGACAAGGAGCTAGGGAGCAGAGAGACAGATGAACTGCAAGAGAGAAGAGAGACGGGAGCAGCGAAGTGCAGCAAGCCGGCACTGGCTGGGCAAAAGGCGCAAGGCTGAACTGAAGTAGAGGAAACGTGGACAGTGAACAGAGACAAAGCCTGGCCATGAGAGGAAATAAATCTACATGACTACTGCAGCAGTGCTGCCAGGAAGGGAGGGACTAAGCCAATAAGGTAGGTGCATTAAAGGAACGAGAATAAAACCGTTTTGGGAAATGGGCAGAGTAGTAGTCCAGTAAGTATAATTTTCCTTCGTAACTCAAGACTGTCTGATGTCTGGTATTCCTTGACTGACAGCAAATATTTGTCAGAGTTTCACAAAGTGCACTGTACTTCCCTTCTTGTGCCAGATACCACTGATAGCAGGAGAAAGGGACCCATTTTGATGTCTATTCCTTTGTACCTAATAAAGGCAGAAATTGTTGGCGCTTCTCTGGCTATGCAGGAGAAAAGTTCAAAGTTCAACAGCCTGCTATTTGAAATAAGATTACTTTCAATAGCTAATCTTCCTTTAGAAAAGCAAAGTATTTCAATGAAACAGTTTTTCAAAATCCAGAGTCTGGAGGCAAGCTCAGAGTTCTGAAGTTTTTATACATAATATAGCAGTATTTCATTTTACACAGATGCTAAATAAAATTTGAGGCTTCTATGGTTATTATACACATGTGATCTGTAAGTTTTAAAAGCAGAGTGCTCCATGAATTGCAGTAATCTGAATTAAAATATAGGGCTTGAACAATTATATAACAGATACTGAATTGCCTTCCCAGTGATCTTTATAAAAAACCCAGCTAAAAATAAATACATCATAAAAAACAAAACACAATGAAAAAAGGTTCGTGAGCACAAAGTACAAGAAAGAAGCCATCAGTATCCTTGAAAAGCTACCTACGGATTTTATGTAACTGTTACCGTTTCCAAAGTATCACTTCAATGATCTCTGAAGAATAAAGTAACAGTTGTGCCCAGTCTTCAACCTATCTTAATTTTTCAAGCTAAACAAGCTCAAGCTTATTATTTAGAGTAAGAATCTAACTTCTTTCTGTATAGCCATATTAAAACTAAAGTGAAATGCATTTATTTAAACTGTATACTCCAAACAATTTGAAGCCAGATAATGTCTAGTTTAGTGTTGCTCAGGTACTGGATTTTGCTCCTTCATGTCCTACTCTCTATATTCTTCCTGCACTGGAAAGAGTAGCAGCCCCCTGGGAAAATGTAGCTAAATGGATGCGAATAACAGTGATTACACAGACACAAAGTGTGTATCCTGAAATTGCAGCTCGTGTACTTTACACGGGTAGGGTAGAGCTCGCTTGCCTTTTGCAACTTTTAAGGAGCTGTTAAAAAGTTTTTCTTTCTTAGAAAAAAGGGAAATAAAATCTTTCATACAACTCATTAAATTAGAATTCAGGTCTGAGACCTCAACTTTCAGTATTGAAACTCTTGACTATAACCAGTTAGCTTGAAAAATGAATCAAATCTTTTACACTAGAGTGGGACAGAAAGAGAGCTTGGTCTGAAATAAATTAAATAATCAAAAGCACTGATCTTTTTTCCACCTCTAGCAATTGTGAAAACCCTGGCCTCACACGATGCTGCTAAATTAGAAGCAGAGGGGAAGTTTGGCTGCTAGGGCCATGATAGGAAGCCTAACCAAGCCGTCTCCCTTACACTAAGAAACAAGTGATTCCATCTGTAAATTATATTAGCAGAAGCTGCTACTAAATATAGCAAGTACCAAAATATAAATGTGCAGACTTACTAGAGCACTAACTAGTTTGTATATAAAGGATCTGATGAAGTATTAATCAAAAGAGGTCTCAAGAAGCTGTGATTAACAGATGAACTGTCTATATAAAAATGTGCTAATGAGATCAGGAAGGTGGCACGACATGCACACTTTTGTCAGAAGGGTGTATACTCAATACACATACACTCTTAATTTGACCCAATGCTCTATAGTAGTGATGTCATCCAGTTTGCATCACCAGATGGCAGATTACGACATCAAATTGGAAGAAAATAAATTTTAGATAAAAGGCTGCAGTAGCTGAGGTTAGTACTAACTCTAGTTAGTACTAGAGACTATTTATTAGTTACTGTTGTCCTTTTTTTAATTGGTTTTGTCCCTTTTCTTTTATAACTGTTGTTGTCCTACTGTCTGCTACTGTGCTATATAACTGTCTACTCTTAATTAACCTTTTAATAGGTGTTATTTTATATAGGTGAATTCTTCTATCCCTGAAGTTGCATCCATCACAAAACACGTACACAGAAGAATTTGCCTCATATTGCTGAGGGTATTACTGGACTGTAACTGTGAGCCTTCCGTGAATGTACAACTAGAAAGCGATGGAGGTGTGACTGCAGACAGAAACAATCACTGCTGAAGAATCAAGACAAATATAATGTTGCACACTATGCTGGTGGAGTGAATCTACCACAGTTTCAGAGGAGCCTCATTACTGACTTACTAGAGGGACTATAAGTTAAGTGATTTTGAGGCAGAAATCATGAGTAACTGGAATGCCTTCTGGAATGCATGAAAACACAATTGGTACAATACAAACACCATCAATTTTAATTTCCAGCTCTAGAATTGTAAGCATGTTTGTCACATGTGTAAAAGTCCAGTAGTATACTTCAGTACTTAGCTTGCAGAACCATCAGTTATATATTACCTCTGTCTAACAAAATGTTTCAGACATCTGTATGCAAGCTACACTTCCTGACTTATGTCCCAGAACTAACATTTCCAAGGTTGACGTAGAGAACAAGAGAACTAGATTAACTGTCTATGAGTTATATGAGGGAATATGTGATCAATATTGTAGACAACTGAGCCATGAATATAACAATAAATATTACAAGATGATCACAAAACAGTGCCTGGTCCCCTGGACAACAGATACGTAACTGCATGCTTTTCCTGCACAATGAGTAGACACACTCCCCTTTGAAAAACAAAAGCAGGGCTCGCTAGAGCATTGGTTGGTAGACATAACACTTTATTAAAGTCTCTAGGCAATTAATCAACATATGCATAACAGAAGTTGCAACCCATATATAAACTGTCTATCTGAATGAAATGGGGAGAGCAGTACATGAGGATTGGGTCTGAGTAAGCTTCAGGCACAGCCCTTTCAAGCAGGGAGTGAGACAGTGCTCTACGATCAGAACGAAGTGTGACACACAGGTGAAATCACAAGTATAACCCAATACACAACTGTTGTGATAATTGAGTAAAAGGAGAGTCAGAAAGCACATGCTGGACTTCGAATATGATTTGGTGTCATGCCTGCATGAACTGGCTGGGAAGAGTGCATTAAGCTGAAGTCTCCAGCTGGCAAACCTAACCTAGCCATCACCACCACCCAAGCTTACGGTTATTACCTGAAATACGATTAGTATTAGTGTCTCCAGGCAGCTGGCACAGAAGCTTCTTGGATTACAATGCCAACATACGCTCACCAACAGCAGCAATTCCGTAAATACACACTTTTCCTCCCCCTCAGAGATCTTGAGGGACCAAAGACTCATTTATCCTTCCTCATTCTTTCATGACGGGAGGGAGGAGAGAAGCTTCACCCAATATTTAAATAGCTATGAAGCTTCACCCCATTTAAATTGCTATTCATCAATTCTGTGGGGTTTATGCATTATAAAGTGTTGGACTAAAATCAAGAGTACTTAGTATTTTTAAAATAAACTATATCATACAGAGTTATAGTAATGCAAGATTAAACTGATTAATTATAATTTTGCATAAAATTATGAAAATTGTCTGGGAAAACATGTGGGCTCTTAACCATTGTAAATCATTCACAGCACACATCTTAGAGTAAGGTAACAGCTGTAGGAATGACTGTGCATAGCACATTACAAACTATGCATCTTTAGTTGCATGTAAATTAATCTACCAACAAGAACAGGGGAGGAACTGAGTGAAGAAGAAGAAGAAAGGCTGATACCTGTTGTCTTCGTTTCTCTTCTTCAATAGCAGCTTTGTCTTCTGCCTCTTTTATCTGTACAGACATACAAAGTGATACACAACTTGTTAACAGCAGCTAAACCTGTTTTCTTATAGAGTCATAATTACTTCTATAGAAAGGTTCTCTGCAAACGTGGCAAAATCTCCATCCGCTGAGCTCTTAACTTATTCAGATTACATAATATTCTCAGAGGAAGCTGCATCATCTCACATTTGGAAAATATGGGACATGTAATGAATACTACAAGGTCATAAATTGAACTTCTGACTTCAACTTGACAAGATCAACCAGCAAATATAAAACCTAAAAAGAATAGTTTGTTCACTAGCAATCAGAACAATTCCTAAAGACAGTTATTCCAAGTTTTCAGCAACTTTCTCCTCAATTCAGTACACTTTACACACACACACACACACACGCACACATATAGGAATTATCTGTATAATTTACACACACATACTTAATTCCAAGTACTTTAAATATTCCCGGACTACTAGAGCAAAAGGAAACTTCTATATTTTTACTGAATATGGCACATATTGGATAATGCACAACCAAATTGCTTTAAAGCTCTTGGTACAATGCAAACCAAATATAAATAAAAATGCTCCACCATCAGGCAGTCATATGAAAAGTCATGGGAGTTACAATTGATAATTGCATCAAAGTGTTTTGTAGTGTTCAAGAAAGCAAATTAAATGCTAGAAATTATTAAGAAAAGAATGATACACAAAAAAGGTCAATATCTAAACACATGATGCACTTGAATCTTAACTCCTGCATTCAGTTTTGGTTCTGCAATAACAGAATGTAAAGCCTGAACATATTCAAAAGCCAGCAATGGAGTGGCTTCCATCTAAAGGCTTCCATGCATAACTAGGATTCATCAGGTGACTCACAGGGCACAAAATCCTGGAGAGTGTGAAGATGCCAAATATTTTTCATAATACAAAAGCAATAACGTAAAATGAAATTACCAGAAGGCTGGTTCACAGCAGAGGGAAACACTCTACTCACATATAGTATTTGGCTAAATCTAGAAATTCAGTACTACAGGATGTTTATAGATGCCAAAAGTTTATGTCAATTGAAAAAAAAAAACAAACAAACCACAAACTAATAGGCATGCTAACAGGAGATAAATCCAACAGAGACCATTAAACAGAAAGACACTAGTTCAATATCTAAAATTCTCATACAGTAGTAGTAGTAACAGGAAAAGCATACTGGGGAAGTATGTGTGTCTGCCTTGCATTTCTTGGACCTTTAGCATTGCAGCCACCAAATCACTACCTTAAAACAGTTAGATGTCAAAATCTGATTAAATGAAAAAGCCTTGATCCTAATAACTGGATAATTTGCATAATAACAGTGATAATAATTTACTAAATATTGTTTGCACAGGTGGAATTTGTTCCAAACAATTTGCAATTCAAGAGCTCTTGACAACTAAGGAGAAGCACACCAGCCCATGCTTTAGCACACTGTAGCTCAAACAGGAAGCTAGTCTCCAATCCTAAGAACAATAATCCTTAAATGTATTGGGTCTGGCTGAGGTGGAGTTAATTTTCCCCATAGCAGCCCTCATAGCGAAGATCAATGGAACAGTCCTATTTGCAGGTTTTCAGACATTTTTTTAAACTGCTAAACTGTATCAAATAGAGTTTCATTAATTTAGACACAACGGCAAAACCTCTCTTTAGAATAAAGCATCTAAAAGACCTTTTCAGCCACACACATCTGAAATAGCAGTCTGGTGTGGAAAAAACTGCACAACTGGCCTCCTGGTATTTCACTGCCATCTAACGGCAGAACTTCACCTCCAAAAGAAAAAGCAACCCACAAACGTAGAAAAAAGCAACAGAAGAGCTTCTTTTTACATTGGTGTGGTCATATTTGTATAAGACACATAGGTATAACATACATAGGTAGAGGGAAGTTTAACCATTATAATCACAGTACAGAAAAACATTTCTAACCTATTTCTTTAATAAAATGTACAGTAGAAGACACATTCAGTTCCTCAGAAATGCATACTCACTAGCTGCTAGAAATGCATACTCACTAGCTGCTATACATATAGAGTTTCACTAAAAGAGTTAACATAGTGTGATTTTGGTAATTGATGGTTGTTTTTCATCTGTGCAAACTAAATCATCTTTGTAAATGTCTGCAGTTTTTAACAGACTTTTTCCAGTCTTGATATGTTAAACAGTAATTGACAAACTACTTCTGTCCAGTGCATATAATAGCAGATCATTCTATTATGTCATTTACAAGTAAACATAGGTTACAAAAGGGTGCCTAGTAAGAATTTAAATTTATAACCTCCTCTAAAAAGCCCAAAAGAAATAAATCCATTTTCTTCTGTGAGGGAGGTATACATAGCTAGGTTATGCCACACAGTATGTCTGTGGCATTCCTTATAGTAGCAACTTGTAGTCATTTGCTTGTTGCATTAGACCATTCACCCCCACAGATTACAATGGCAGAGGTGAGAACTAGAAACTAGTATCTGCTGAAGTAAAACGGCAGCTGACACTGCACTGCAGTACAGTGAGACATGCTCCTGTGTCCCAGCTCATGCAGTCCCTTGCTTTAGTGCACTGCACGTCCTAGGAACTTACCTTCATGCTTTTACTGGAACCGTTTGTTATGGTTGGGACTTTCTAAAGGCATATCCCAAGAGTCTTCCCATTTGATCTGCTTGTGAAGTTGCAGGGTTTGGTCTATGTGGTACTTTTTAGAACTTGCCAATCAATCAATCCTGAAAATCGGAGCAGCAGCTGACAAAAGTCAGTTTTACCCACTGAGTTTTTGGATTGTACATTTATCACATCTAACACTTACCTGATAAAAACCAAGCAAGTCAGGCACCAATTCTTTTTGTTTATGTTTTTATAAAAGGCCGGTAAAAGCCAGATTGATATTCTGTTTGTCTGGGTGACATCATGCAGCAACTTCTCCATAAAACAGCAGAACTAGGGAGAAGTCATATTTACAGCAGGCTAAAAAGTATACTGCAATTGCTGAAAACTCTCCATTCTTCTGCTACAGGGTAACTCACACCGTGTGTTGGGCTTATACTCTTCATGATGGACAAGTTGAGCACTCAATGGCTACCAAACTTTCACAGGAAAGAGCAAATCTAACAATGCCCTGTGAAGTGGTCTGGCCCTAATCCTACAGCACTAATCATCAGCAATGATGATTTTATCATCACTGATCATCACTTGTTCCCAGCGGAAGAGGAAAGAACCAGTTCTAACAAATAATAAAAAAACACAAAAAAACCCCAAACAAAATGTTGTTTTGACATAGTATTTCACTGAGTTAATTAATACCGTGTACAAACACTGTAATTCTCCCCACTAAGCCAAATATAAGTCTGAAAAAGCAGCTGCTATTAAACAGCACATCTACTTACACTGTATTCTTTGCTGGTATTGCCTTGAAGAGATTATAGCTACAACAGATACATTACCTCAGATGCTTTCCGTTTCATCTCCTTGCATAATGCATCACATTCCAGTGAAACTTGGCCTTCTTGTATCTTGCTGCACTGTATTTCCTGTTAAGTATAATTTGAGTCTTTTATAATAATTTCCCTATATAAAATTTTAGTTATAATGTTAATTTCTTTATGAAAATAATTCTTATTTAGTACAACATTGATTACACAGAAAATAAAGCTAATGATTAAATGTTATTTGAACCTGTAATTCTGTATTAAATTGTACTTTTCTCATTTCCTTCTTTCCTATGATTCTGTGATAAGCTAACCTGAAAGTAAGAATAAATCAAATGGTTCAGTTTAATTTCTCCTCTCTTTTCTCACTTGTTTGCCCAAGACAAAGTAAGATAACCTTCTGAACTCTAGCAGAAAAAGTTAGCATTCAGAGTCTCAATAATTTCATATACATTCCCTTAACTGTCTCAGATTACAGGGCAAGGTCTGGTCAAGGGGAAAAAAAAAA